ATTAAAAATGACTTCTGAAACACAAAAGCGTAAGAGTGTAAGAGTGAGAAGGATGGACCGTCAGTGATCTGGAACGGTGCCTACCACGGGGCACGGAACGTCGCCTCTACCTGTCCCGCTGCCGGACCACACAGGACCCTGCTGTGGATTCCTGTCTGTCAGTGCACAGTGCTTTGCTCTTTGTATTAATAGAACTGATATTTCATCATTATCATCATCATCAACATCGTCATGTTGATTTTCTTTTTCCACGCGCAAAGACTAAAGAAAATACGTACAATCACATTTTCCTTTTGCATCATAGACAGTCCACGGATGCTACATCAAAATTTGCGTATGCTTCTGTTGCGAGAACTCAATTACGGTTACTCACTTCATAAAATTAAGTTCATACACAGAAAAGTTGAAGCTCTCCGCCGGAGTAAATTTTTTAGAAGATATCCACTAGCACAAGGAATAGTTACTGGAAAAATGAATTTTTCAGAAACTAAATATTGTGAGTAGTCGGTAATGCTTTATTTTTAATAATTGTCTTTAGTGGCGCTAAATGTTGCCCCTCTGCCCTAGAAACAGCCTGCATTCTTGTTCATACTCGGAACATATGTAACTTTACCACGTTAAGTTGCTCCTCCAGTCCTTGCTCCTCAGCTAGATGCGTTTCCGCTGCAAATGCAGTTTGCAAATGTACAGATATTATTCATAACTCATGTCGCATCTACTATCATATCTGATCCAATTTTCCTTGGTTTCTTGTCGTCTTTTATTTATTCTGTCCTGTGTTGTTTTATTGTTCTTGTTTGTATTCGTACTGACCCTGTAATTGATCATTAAATTCAGAACGTAAATAAATAAATAAATAATTGTATTATTACTACTATTATTATTGTTATTACTATATTTTCTGGCTGCATAATTGCTGATGCGATTGAATTTATCGAATTGTGATTATTATCCATGCTGCCTTGGTGTGTCTGTGTTTAGTCGTATATGTTCTGACTACATCTTTGTTCGTGCTTATTTTATAACTGGTCTTTGNTTTTGTCGATGATCTCAAAATTTTCCGCGTCATTAACTCACCACATGATTGCCTCTTACTTCAATCTGACATTAATTCCGTGAGTGACTGGTGCATTTCTAACTACATGAGGCTTAAATATTGTCAAAAGGCGTGTTGTGTCATACACAAAGAAAACTAATATTCTTAGTTATGAGTATCAGCTTTGTCATGCTATCATTACACGCACCAGCAGTATTAAGGACCTAGGTCTATTCTTTGATTCAAAATTATATTTTCACATGTATGTTGATTACGTATTTTCTGAATGCATTAAGCTTTTAGGCCTTATTCGCTCCATTACGTACAGGTTTTCCTCCCTGGAATGCCTGTATACGAGTATACTGAATTTTAATTTAGTCAGTTCCAAGTTGGAATAAGCCTCGGTAGTTCGGAACTCCATCACTTCGACTGATGCCAAGAAGCTTGAGCGCATCCAGCAGAAGTTTCCGTCCGTTTGTTTTTATCGTTTCTTCCTTCATATTCCACACAATTATACAGATGCCTTAGAGAAAATAGGTCTATAATCTTTAAGTAAACTGGGACATAACCTTGATGCACTTTCTTCCATTCAGGCCCATTGTGAGCTGAAATCTTGCTCTTCCCTATTGGAAAACTTTAGCCGTCGTGTTCCTGCCAGAAATCGTAGTGGCTTCTCTTTGTTTGGTGTTTGTCCCTCTAATAAACACTGTCCTTCTGCTCGGTGCGCCTATGCTGCCAGCGCGGTGGGTAAAGACTCCACATATTTGCAATCGGAAGAGTCTACATTACAAAAGGCTCCTGGACACTCTAAGTGCCTCCGCGTTTTATTCATATGGTCGTATTTATAATTATGAACTGAAGGGCCTACAACTTTATTAAGTGCTTGGGAAGGGTGAGGCCCTCTGATTTAATTCAGACAGAAATGTCGTGGCTTTCTAATTCGAAAATGTTAAAAATTTGAAACAATAAAAGTGTTAATTGCGCAACGAGAGTATGCAATACTAATCGAGTTTAATAAAGGTTTTAAGGGGATGGATTTTTTTTTCGACTGCATTAAGACTCCTCTGCCGTATATGAACCATGGACACACCATGAAACTGCAAGTTCAATCCTAGGAGTATTATTGCTTTGTATGCGTTCAAAACTTTGTACCAGCTGCTTAGGTTATACAGCACTAAATGGCTATGAATCATGAAGTGAGGAAGATAGGAATGGACACAATCGTGACCATTTTAAAATACTATCCCAGCATTTTTCTAAATACTATTGAAGTCATCCAGAACATGCGGTCTCCAGGCGGGATCTACAAGCATGACGCAGAAGTGTTAATCACTAAAACCTGACCTTCAGTGACTCCGGACAACGGAGATCTTCAGATGTGGGGGTTGGTACGATTGATTCAAAGAGCAAGAGCGATCAGTCGACAAAAGTTCCACATCTTGGCCGTCGGGACGGACATAAACGCTCCTCCCTGTAGCAAGTAACCTGTGCCACGAAATTTACCAAGCCATTCTGCGTTTACTCGCTTCTTTATTTAACATGCAGATGAGCTGGTGAGTTTTCGAGAAGTTTATATTGAAATTCCGGTGTCCACAGAACCAGAGGTTATATTGACAGCACGAATAAAGTGGAGTTTGAAAAAAACATTTGTTACTTACTTAACCAATTAGTATATCAATTTGTTAGCCAGTCAGTAACTCAGACCAATTAATCCATTAGCTATTCAATGAAATTTTACTTTGGTTAACACGTTATTCAACAAGCTGGTTGTAACATTTGTTACTTAATCAGATAGTTAGGTATTCCATATTCCGTATTGAGGGGATGGGTTTCCCCTTGTACTTAGACCGGTTAGTGGTCCATTGTGCGTCCCCTTTTAATTTCTACTGTCTCCATACCCTACCGGTACTGGTGCTTACTATCAGCCCCTTTCTGCCAGCGAGGTTCCAACCTCCTCTGGCAGTGGTATCTAATAGTTAGTCCCTTTCTGTCAGAGAGTTCCCCCCTCCTCTGGCAGTGGTACCTAATACTTCCCCCATCTACCGGAGGAATTGGAAACTACTTGGGGGGGAATTGTTGCCTAATTTTGCTCAGAGGTCTCCTAGAGACATGAGGTTCTTTTGCGTGCCGTAAATCTACGACACGGGACCCACGGCTTAAAGTCCCTCCCGGAGGACTTGTTCTCTGAATTTTTCCGCCCTTAAAAATTTCACGACCTCCACCGGGTTTTTGAACCCGCGTACTACGAGTCATGAGGTGGGAACGTTACCTCTAGACTACGGAGGTGGCTAGATAGTTAGGTAAGTGAGAAGTTAATTTACTAATTCGACGGTTATTCAGTAAATAAGTCCGATGGATATCTATCTGATATCTGAATTTCTGTTGCTCCCACTTAGGGCATACCGCATCCATGAAACCCTTCGTTTCAGTTCAGTTTCATAATCTTTTACATAGTCGGTAGGACCCCATGGACAAGTGATCAGCCTCTTGCAAGGTCGCTCCGTGGCCTGTAGTCCTCAAGCGAACTATACCGACC